AGTGAAATCGGGATAACTCGGTCATTTTATAACCGATTTTTCTAATTTAAAATGCTAGGCTGGGATTTTATGGCAGGGCGAGTGCGATGGCGAGGTTAGTTTTTATGTTGGTGTAGCAGTTAGTTCGACACGAGCTCTGGGAGTTGCGCAGCCTGCTATGGCGGGGTATCGATTGAAGACGAAGGGGAAGAAGTCGTGATGGGAAGGCACTTACCCGGTAACGAAGGAGACGCGAGGGAGATCGACACAGTTGGTTCTTCCGTTAAGGCGGTAGGCGTAGCATCTTCGGGTGCACACGCATGTCCTGCTTGATTTGATTTGGGTGCACTTGGCTATATTGTTGACCGGGTGCATTGAGCTCAGGACCGGGCTTCGGGCAACAGAGAGGTAGATACGAGAGTTGGGAGAGTAGGAGTGAGCGAACGCTTACCTCAAGAAGAAGTCGAGTGACTTCGTCCACGTATAACAGAAGATTCGTTCTCATTCTAGTTGACGTAGCCAACCCCATTGCGGCTTTTCTTCCGTTCGGTTGTTACTCGTCGGGATAGGCAATCGCCTTCCAGTTGGTCACTATTTGTTATGGTTACGATCTTCCCAAGCAGAACACATAAAGGGAGAAGAAGTGGACTTACCTGCTGGTCGGAGAGTGCCCGCATCGTCCTCCTTGTGGGAAAGGCTCATTGTTGGCACGGTCGATACAGAGGGCTAAGGCTGAAGTGCTCGAGGGAAAGACGAAGTGTGGCAGTGTATCGACCCAAATTTTAGTGGGAGGCACACCTTTAGTGCTGCTGTTACGAGACTCAGAGGCAGTGTGTTAAGGCCATGCTCGGGATCATCGACTTCATTCCCGCTCGGCAGGGCTTACGACCTTCTGCCCGGCGGTGCTCTTTGGCTTTGGTGTGAGTTTATGAGACTAAAGTATTGGCCGGCTACACTGAAGAGAGAGGAGGTAAAGCCCGAGCAAGAAAGAAAGTGAAAGGAGGAGAAGGATTTGAGGCACGTACCTGCTTCTTGTGAAGACGCACACAAAAAGAGTTTATGGGTGCTCGTGATTGCGACAACGATATGCTATGACAGGGCGCAAGTGTTGTGGGAGCTGACTGTTGTCATAGCTGTTAGGTTCGAGCCGTGCTGCTGCTGAACGCGCAGGGGAGGGGTGCAACCTCGAAACTTCAAGTAGTTGTTGTTGTGTTTTGCAGTCCGACTTGACGGCGCTTCGCTGTGCACATGCCATATACAAGTAGTGCATGTGCTGTATAGCACAACGCTAGCGCCTGGCCTACGCCTTGCATAGTTGTAATCTTGCACTGCCTGTTGCGGAGCATGTGGTGCGGGGTTGTGATTTATACATTGTAGTTAATATATTAATATGTCGTCTTAAGCTGCGCAGCAGCAGTCTAGTCGGAGGTTAAAGTGGTGTGGCTTGAGGAGAGATTAAACACCATAAAAAAGGAGGGGGGGATCAATGCTGCGACTTAGAGGTTCTTCAGGAGGGGTTGTTTCAGCAGTTTGACTTCGGTTTGACCAGCGGCTGTGCGTAGTGGCCATCGTTGCGGGGCCCTCAGGCAAGTCAAGGAAACAAGGCCCTCTCGCGCGAGTCTGAGAGCACCCTTCTTGTATCTGAGCGACTAAAATTCCCTCCTTCTGCCATTCTTACTCTAAGTCTAATGATGTTCTCAGAGAAAGGCGGCGGGCGGTATAGGACCGCAGCAGGACGATGTGGGTAGTCAACCCACCGATTGCGGGAGCTCTGCCAGAACTCTGGAGGAGTTCTGGAGGCAGGGAAGTGAGAGGTAACGGTCCCATCCTCCTTTTATAAACCCGGTTATCACCCATGCGTACTCATTGCTATGTTTGACTGAGTATACTGCGTACACCCTTATTTTGACTTTGAGTTTGACTTTCAGGACTTAAACCAGACTTAATAAAGGAAGGTATGCACAATGTAAGTTTCAGTTTTGTTCTCTGACTGAAAGCAGATTGCGGGATTGCATCTAGGGAAGGATGGGAGGAAGACAGTTTTGCTTGTGTGACTGGGGTCAATCAAAGGCTAGCCAATTGTCCATAAGTTTGGGGAGACCCAGTGCTATATTTGTTTTTCAATTGCCTGGAGAACCAGACATGTTCCATAAGTTTGGGTGGTTTGGTTGCTATGACTTATGAGGGCTGTTTTTTATTGACTTTTTAGGAATCAAGCATTGTCTCAAAAGTTTGGGTGACTTGGTTGCCTTGTTTATTTTGGGTTTTCTTAGTTTCTTTTGGTTCTGAACAAGGAGGTCTGAGCATATTCCATAAGTTTGGGTGGCTCAACCTCTTCCTGCTTTATTTAAGGGATCAAACCAGACAGAGGACCAAATATGTTCCATAAGTTTGGGTGGTCTTGGACCAATGCCACGCACATGATGGAACCAAAAGGTTATACTTTGGCTATACTTTATTATTACTTTATCTATGAACAAGCTAGTCAGACATTGTTCCATAAGTTTGGGTGGTCTGACTATAACTTATCATAAACTAAAGATAGTATTAACTAAGAATAAACTTGTGGTAAAAAATGGCAGGCTGAACCTCGAGCTAAAGATTATCGGCTCGGTCATATGCTACGTTAAAAGAATAAGTGCAGACAATTATATAAAACTTGGATACTTAAACAGTTCCGGGCGACTAGGGTGACCTAGTCACGTACCCAAGGAAGAGAAAAGTTGTAGTGCCCTGTGTTTGTGTATATTCAATGGTTGAGCTAGACATGTTCCATAAGTTTGGGTGGTCTAGCTTTATGCCTTATCTAAGCTGGGTATAAAGGGGTAAATCGTTGAAAGACTTTGAACTACTGTTTGATAAGATTGACTTTTGGCTGGTGAAAGTACTTACCTTTGTGGTTTGGTCTTGCATGTGGCTAAGTGAAATTATTATTTAGTCTGAGTTTCAGTTTGATAGGTAGTTGCTTTAGTTGCTCGCCACTTGCTAGAGCGAAAGGAGTTAGTTCATTTTCTGCATTTTTTTAGCTAAGTTTATTTTACTTGGGTCGATTTCTGCATTTTCTGGGATCTTTTGTTATACTTGGTATTGTATAAATCTTGGTAAGTCACTTTCTCTATGGGAAGCGCTGCCGAAATTTCTAAAAAAACAAGAAGTTAGTTAGATTTTATATTTTCAAAGTTCAACTTGTCTAACTTTTGTATATGGCTTAGTAAAAATCTGGGAAGTCTCATTTTCTAAAGGGAGTGCTGCCTAAATTTTTACTAATTCAAGGAATTAGACAAGTTGGACCTTGAGAAGTCAGTGTTATTTTAGGTTTTGAGCCTTACTTTGTATGAATCTAGGAAGTATATTGTTCTAAAGGGAGGGCTGCCCAAATTTTTACAGGTCTAAGGAGTTAGTTAAATTTTCTCTTAGTTTAACTCGAGTTTTGTTTTTAGTTCGCACTGACTTAGTATAAATTTGGGAAGTCTCCACTTCTAAAGGGAGTGCTGCCCAATTTTTTACTAATTAAGGGAGTTAAACAAAATTTGACTTTCTAAGAGTTGAAGAATATTTCAATTTTTATATTCGAGCTGGTATAAATTCTGAAAATACATTTTTTTCACGGGAAGCTCTCCCGAAATTTTCCTAGGTTGGAGCAGATAGATTATATTTTGACAGGTGACGAATTCTGACGATCCACCCTGAGTAGCGGAGATGCTGTCATAGGTCTACCTTGCTTTGGGCACTGGATTAGAGGTAGGCATGGGCTTAGCTTGTAGGAGGACGTTAAGTGAGAATGTGCTATGGAGCTTTATTTTCCACACACTTATGAATTTAACTTGGGTATTGACATGTCCTGCGGTACAAGTTCTCTTGATCGTTTGATTCAGGATCTGGAATAGATTCAACTTGATCCTACAAAGATCATCTTCTGTTATCACTGATAATAGGTCGACTTTGGTCTACGACTCAACTCCAATCCTTCCTCAATACTCAACCTAAAAGGCTTTAGCCTTGGTGATTTCCATTGTTTTATTAAGGTTTTCACTCGAAATTTTATTGAATGGCCATTTAACAAAGGTACTGAGTATTCAATTGTGGAAGGTTGGACAAAGGTTGGGGCTTGTATGGCTAAAGCGAGGGGTATGAGCATAGATAATGACTGAAGTTGACCCTGTGTAGTGCGTGGGCTTCTGTTGAGTTTTTGATGTGATTGTATGTATGTTTTGTGGTTCGGACTTTGGATTTGACGGTCTGCGATCACATACCTACATATGGCTGAGAGGAGTCCCACTGTGACTGTGAGAAGTGATCGTCACATATTTATCCCTCTTTTACATATATATATGTGTACATACCTATGTTTGGGTGTTTCACGTGGCCTAAGGAGCCCACGCTTAAGGGTTTAATTGGGGTCAAGGTTGAGAAAGGAAGGGATATTCTCTCCCTTTACTGTTGTTTACTTCTTAAAGAGTTCTTAGTCAGACGTTGGTCCTGGGCCTGGATTCGAGGTTCTTGTTCAGGACATCCCAAGTCGTAGGCTCTGCATGGAAGGGATCACCCCCCGCGCAGAGCCTATTTGCCCTGCCCACCGGAGGTGCCGCGGAGGTCGCACAACTGTTCCTTCAACCGTGCAATATCATGAAGGGGTAGACCTTCACGATACTTCGAATTTGACACTTCAGTGTCATAAGCGGTACTCGAACCCACAAGAGACCGCTTGATTATGGGCACTACAAAGTATGCCATCATCGCGTTTGGTTGCATATTCATACATTGCTAGTCGATATGGAAAGACCCTGCGTCCACACTGTTTTCTACTGAGTCTCGCGTGTGTTGCGTATCCGATTTCTGCATCGGAGAGTTATGGGATAACCATTGAAGGGACTAGGATTGTGTGCGTTATTTTGATTGTGTCGTTCTTTGTGTGTGTGTGTGTGTCTAAGTTGTTTGCCATTTCCGGATAGATTAATTTACCGAAATATCCGGCCATTTCATCCGGCATACTGTTCATCCGGAATTTCCGGATAAACCGAAAAATGTCCGAATTGTTTTTTTTTTTTTTTTTTTTTTTTTTTTTTTTTTTTTTTTTTTTTTTTTTTTTTCTGCGCTTCAAGAGGACTGTCGCAGGTTCTAATATTGGAGTTGTTTTGTGAAAAACCCATTGAATACCCATATTACTATGATTAGTATGATATTAGTAAACTACTGTCAATTGAACTTCGTTCAGTGTTTAATACTGTTTATGTGGGTGTGTGTCATTCTGACTCATTCAAGAGTTGCCTCCCAAGGCAATGAACAAACCGGGGAGGGGAGAGTGGGGGCGGGGAACACACACACACACACACACACATACACACATACACATGCACACACACACCCATACACTCACAATCACACACACATATAAAAACTTCAACATACCATGATCGATCAACACACTAGAACTTCCCCCAGAAACACAATCGAATCGTCAATGTGAACAAAGCAGATCACATGATGCACATTGTGACTACATCATCTACAAAAGAGGTATGAATGCACAGTTCGTGCGTGTGTGTCTCTGTCTCCTTTATAAACCTCACCCACATTCTGACATAACCCCCCACACTCCCTCACACCCCCCACATACTCCCCACTAACCCCTACACACCCCCATAAGCCCCCCATATTCCCACACACCCCTGACTGAAC